CCTATCCTCTAAATAAGTTCTCATTAATTTTAGATCATTATCTCTTATACCATAATGTTCGAGCTTGAAAATGTTAAAATGCCCCAAGTTAACTATGGGTTTATTTCAACTTAGTATACACAACTGGATATGGCCTGGGATAGAGCCGGCTAGAGGAAGATGCATGAATTAGTTGCACCGACAAGAGGAAACTCTTAAATGAAAAGAGATACACAACTAACAATGCATTTTATGTCAAAAACTCATGTTACAGTAATACGAAATGCCTTAGTTACTTTGCCCAATGTACTTGTTGCTTGTATTATACTTAGAATAATCCAGTAAATTATAATTATATTACTCTTAATTCATTCAAAAATCATATATTTAAAAAATAATAACTCGAATTTGTCAACCCTGCATTTGTAGAGTGGAGGTGGGACGAGGCATAAAACTTGGAAAATCGTCCGGTATCCGATCCGTATACTGTCAATAATTGATAATGGATGACGTCATTATGTCAGGTCGTGATTGATTGGATGTACCGGCGCCCCGGTGCGCCTCAGCAGGACTTCGACTTCGATCGTATACCTCTAGATTAAGCTTCTCAGTTCAAACGCTTTGCCAATAATTAATATTTTGTTCCACAAAAATTGCACTTTGGTTGTTCTGTTAAGAGAGGGACTGGCTGAAAACCAGCGCTGTGCAGCTGTACACATTGCGCTGGGACACTCGCAGCATCCGCTGAGCCGGTTCCTTTTGCCTAGTATGGGACACTGCATATGTATATGTATTTTCTATATTTTGTATTGTGATTGTGTGTTTACTGACAAGAAATGTTTTCTATTCTTTTTTTTTTATACAACTTAGAATGGCAAACAAGTTGACGGCCCACCTGATGGAAAGTAGTAACCGTCGACTATAGACAGAACCACGTTGCATAATTTACTCTATAAAAGAAGTTGATTTTGAAAAAGAAAGAAGTAAATTCAGTCCTGATGAAGTTTTTTTTTTATACAACTTAGAATAGCAAACATGCTGACGGCCCAGCTGATGGAAAGTGGTAACCGTCGCCTATAGACATGAGCAGTACCATGGACATAACAGAATATACTGTTTCGCCCATGATACCCCCCATGCGTTGTCATTCCTGAGGACTCTGGTGTTATTCCTCTGTACCCAGTAAATTCACGCCATATCCCGTAAAAACCGAAACACAGCCATGCAAACACAACTGCTTCACAGTTGAAACACAAATGGAACAGAGGTACCCAAGCAATCGACTTTTGTACAAAGTCTCCCTCTGGTAAAGTCTCCCTCTTGTGTAGTACGCGACCATCTAAACTCTAAGATATAAGGGTGAACTCCCTGTCAGTAACGAGCTGTAGAAAATACGAGTGTGTAAACTAAAGTGAGTTCCTACGAATAGTCGCACACATATTCCAGTTCACTATATCGCGAAATAGTGCTGTCATCGATCTTGGTTGTTTACAAAACACCAAATATAAATCACTCACGGATCCACTAGTGAAATTCGAGATTGACGTTACAGAATAGCTCTGCTGTTAAGATTCAGTACCACGTTGCATAATATACTCACAAAACAAGTTGATTTTGAAAAAGAAAGAAGTAAATTCAGTCCTGACGAAGTTTTTTTTATACAACTTTGAATGGCAAACAAGCTGACGGCGCACCTGATGGAAAATGGTAACCATCGCCTATAGACATGAGCAGTGCCATGGACATAACAGAGTGTACTGTTTCGCTCATGATATCCCCCATGCGTTGCCATTCCTGAGGACTCATGTGTTATTCCTCTGTACCCGGTAAATTCACGCCGTATCCCATCCTTCAAACCGAAACACAGCCCTGCAAACACAACTGTTATTACTGTCTTTGCGTGCATGGTTTTGTAAGTCTCTTAAAGTTGAAACATTCCAAAATACTTGCTCAACGGAAGCTTGCATTATAAAATAAACTTAAGTCCTAAATTTCAGTTTTCTAGATTTAATAGTTTTATTTGTATGTTAATAATTAGTCAGGACAAATGATTTTATATGTATATTATATGTCCTTTCCCGTGGGTGTCGTAAGAGGTGATTAAGGTAACTTAAGGGTCGAGGGATGGGTAGCAGTGTCCCTCTTAAAACATCACCAAAGCCTAACTGCATCTGCCAATTTACCTGCCAAGCATAGCAACTACTGGTAAACCCCCCCCCCCCTTATGGGTAAGCCTATGTCCAGCAGTGGACAGTGCTGAAAATGACGATAATATACGTGTAGATTTATAGTATCGGTTTTTTTTAATCAAAACTTAAATTCGGCAAGATTTAGCAGTGCAACAAACAGTTTTTTAAAACTTCAAAAATGGCGGCTTCAATTATCATAAAATTAATATGAAAATAACACGGACGTAAACGTTGTCAGTTGCAAAATGAATTATAAAATTAATTCAGTAATAACGATGTAATCTCATACCATATACACAAACGAAACACGATCTAATCTAATCAGGGCCTTCTCTCCATAGCTGTAGATCGATTTTTGCATACACACCCCTCTTTTTTCCGGGATAAAATTTAAAATATTCACTGTCTTATGTTCACTTTATCCGAAACAGGAATAATATTTTCCGAGGCATCAATAAAAGCACATCGCCGTTTCCTTGATAATCAATCACTCAATCACTCGGGCATTTAACTAAAAGTTTAACTTCTAAGTCGTTTCTAAGAAGAAATGAACCTTCACGCAAACTTTATATTAAATGGTTATAAGAATTGAAAATAAAATAACTGGAATTTTGTATATACATAAATTGTGCGAACACTCGAAAGGGCTGGATTTGTGTTTAGTGAATTTGTATCGTATCGTGCGTTTTATTATTAGATCTACAATATATATACAAGAAGATGGATATTATCAATACTGTTAGTTACGAAAAATTGTTTATTTAAGGGAACACCAACAGCATATTGCATTATAACACATATAACAAACATTAAATACAATACAATATCAATGCACACGCCTATTGCAGGTATTCACAGCATTTACTTTAGAAAATGAAGTAACAATTATAATGAATTAAATAACAATAGACTGCAAATATTTTAAAAGTTGCATTATTAGTTATAGAAATATACATGTAACCTGAGTTGTGAGCAATATCAGTAAATACGATTATAAGTGAATATATATATATATATATATATATATATATATATATATATATATATATATATATATATATATATATATATATATATATATATATAAGCAATTTATTCCTGTAGGAATTCGAACTATCATGCGTTATATCAATTTCAATTGTTTGCCATACATGACATACAGACATGTAAACATTACATTATATCAACATATCAGCCTTTATCTGGCCACTGTTGAACTGCTGCACAGCTGCTTCCCCCTATTGGGGAGTTTCGCTAATAGTTATCATGCTTGACAAGCGGGTTTTTTTTTAATTTTTTCCATTGCTTCTGTCGCTAAGTTTTAATGCGACAACCTTCGTATCTTTGTCATATTGTCTATCTTATACATTTACTGAGTTTTTTTTTTCCCGAGTTAATTATAATAATAGTTTATAATATATATAGATATATATGTCATAATATAAAAAAATACTATGTAACTACTTGTGTTCGTCACTAGGTTAGCAACAGCAGTCAGGCTTTGGTGATGTTTTAAGAGGGACGCTTCTGCTCATCTCTCGACCATTAAAGTCTCTTTCTCGCTTCTTACGACACCCATGGTAAATGGGTGGCCCATTCTATGCCAGGACCATTCATTAGGTTTTATGCTTTTTAATAATCGGGTACAATAATTCTTAAAACGTACAAGGAATTAGTGATATAAATACACCATACAGGGGGGAAAGGGATTGTTAGTAATGGAGACTGAGAATCCCATTGCTAGCAATATACCCAACCAGGTCGACCTCCTCGCGGTTCCCCCTGGAAACTATCATGGTTAATTCCTGATGAATTCATCATGATGGGCTAACTGGCCTGTTTTCATTCTCATCTATCATCCTTCACTGGTGCTCCGCCAGTGTTTCCCGTTAGCGCAGGCGGGGTTACCATACCATTTTTACCTATAAAAAAAAATACACCATACATCTACATATACAATGGTGAATCGTACGACACAATCCATCAATGTCTGGTTCCTTAATATGGGGCCCTGATTTACTGCCCGCCTCCCATCTAGCGTTGTGCTATAAAATTGTATGTGAGTACTGATAAAAATTTTTGGGAGACTGTACAAAAGTCGATTGCTTGGGTACCTCTGTCCCATTCGTTTTTCAACCGTGAAGCAGCTATTTGCATAGCTGTGTTTCGCTTTGAAGGGTGGAATATGGCGTGAATTTACTGGGTATAGAGGAATAACATCTGACTCCTCCTTCACCACATCTGCCCTTCATACGCTTTCTGTTTTTACCCAATGGTTAGCTGGTAGAGAATGCCATATGGCATTAAGCTCGCCATTTGTACAAAGTTTTATTGTGTAATAAAGAATAAAATAAATAAAAATAAATAAGTATATCCTTTCAGTTAGAAAAAGATTTTCCAAATCGATTTATAACTACCGAAGTTATGAACAACTAAACAACCTAAAAAAAATATAACCTCCTTCTTTCTGAAGTCGATTAAAATATACAATCAAACTGAATTTTTCTTCTTAAAAATATGCTACACAGTTGTTATTATTAATAATTTAAAAAAAAATGTATAAAAACGACACGTAGCTTATTGAGAGATTACATTTTTTTTTAGTACGTTTGTTCCGTTGTGGAAGAGGCTAAGGTCGGAGACCATGCTGCCTAGTCTTCAACATGATAATTTGTCTGGAATAAGAGAGATTACAAAAATGGGCAGAGACAAGTTTATTTTTTTTTAATACGCACTGGAAAATTTACTATTTTTATACAACAACAGTGTTTATTCATAACGCTTTTTCATAGTTCTATAAGTATTTAGTTGATAAAATACAAAAAGACTTACCGGCTTTCGTTTGGCCAAAGCTAGACTCCATAAGACTGCCGCATTATTGTAAAAAAAATTCCTGAAACAAAAAAATACCTTTATAAGTATTATAATAATTTATCATACTTCATCTATAAGGGCAATATATCTTGTTTGCCAGTCTATGTTGCATTAAAAATAATAACTATACCAATATAATTAAAAGAGGCAAAAAATGGGGTGGCCCATTTTATGCCCTGTGTTCCTGACATAGAGTGGGCTACTCCTTCCTTTCTAGTAGGTGTCGTGAGAGGTGACTAAAAAAACATAGCAGCATAGGGTAGCAGCATCCCTCATAAAACATCACTAAAGTCGGTTGCCAATCCACCTGCTAAGCATGGCAACTACTGGCAAAGTTCCCCAATATGGAAAAGCCTATATTCTGATGATGATTGAGAATTAATGCGAAGCTATATATATGTAGAATAGTTTTAGAGTAATACAAATAGACACTAGCAGTTGAAATTTACATTTTTTTTTAACATTTGACAACTAATTTTTTGAGAACGGTTATAGGCTATCAACATCATGGTACAACCATAGGCAAAACCGCAGAATATAGTCTGTAATATTTTTATTATATATCCGAATATTTCCGAACTGATACAACATCATAACCTTTAAGAAAAAAGCGTATTCCTTTTTAAAAGACCGGTAGCACAACTGCAATGCCTTTGGTATTGCGGATGATTATGAACGACGACAGTAACTTACCATCAGATGAGCTGCATAATAGTTTGCCCTTATGTTATAAAAAAAAAAAGAAAAAAGGAAAATCTACAAAAATATATTAATTACAATGAAAGTAAAAACTTTTTTTAAGTAAGTAAACCCTTTATGAACAAATACATGATTACACTATTACATATTTTTCGTCCGGCCTTACAAATTATATACTATACATGGTCTATTAAGACTTTCTTAGATTAATCTTTCTTCAACAACAAATGCCATCTATACATCAAAACTTAAAACTATTCATGCACTTTTAACGTGTATTCGTAACGTGCATTCTAAATCTTTTTACATGTTTGATTCATGCTTTCTCTGAAATAAAATTCTAGAAATAAATCATTGTGCTTCACGAGTGCGAAATATCTTTAATATTACATTGGTTTGCCAACAGAAATATATTGCTTTATAAAACCTATAAATATTTTTCCCGCCAAGTGGTGGACTTAGTCTACGCTTAAACCATATACTTCTAGACGCAGTATTTCAGTACAAATGCTTTGCCAAATACCAACTTTTTTATTCTTATGTTTTTTTTTTTAATATATGTTTTACGGCTCTGGATAAATTCTTATTTGCATAAATAGGGATACCAGATTATATAGTCATTATTTAGTAAGTAAAATAAATATATTGTAAAATCAACTTGATATTAAAAAAATAATACTAAATTCTGATATTATATATTTTAAATAACAGGGTAAACTGTACATAATGTTCATAATGAGGCTGTTCACTCGAAGTAATCTATATTAATCATTTCTAAGAATATAGTCATTAAAGGCATTAATTAAGTACATTTTGAATATTACATAAGAAAAATATTTCTTATAAAAAGTTCCCTTAAGATAGAAATTTTCTAATCAAATTACTTGCAACTTTGAAAAATGGCGCCCTTTCTTTAATTAAAAAAATATATGCGTCAATCAATAATCTCTCTCAGCTAACCGTTTTTGGGTTATATTTTAATACTCGACATCCCATCTTTATGGTGATAATGATATCAGTAATTGTTGAACATTTCATGTTGAAATACCTATAATTTCAGAGTTTAATCTTAAACCTAACCTATAAATATTTTTCCCGCCAAATGGCGGACGTAGTACGTAATTCACAATTGTATAGCTAGATATAGTACGTAACTAATGACGCGTCAAATACACTATCACCTCCAAGACAGAAAAATATTGTTAGCGACAGATTAAATTCTACGCATTCTTATACAACTGGACAATAGACCGCTTCTATTGTCAGAACAAGACATAGACAATATCTGTTAGTGAATGATCTCCGTTTATCTCGTCTATTCTGAGCTCCTTTATATAACCTATTATAAGTATTATAATATATCGAAGGCGCTAATGTTCGATCATTATCAGGTTTTATAACTAGCAAATACCAATAAATACGATGCATAGTAAATATTATTGTCTCGTGTATAAAAAAAAAAACAATATAATATTCGAAACTTGATTAAACGTGTTATTTTTAAAATTAAAATAAAAAATATCATACGTAGTATACGTATAGACTATGTATAACTTTTTTTTTTATTTTTGAAACTTTCAAAATTTACTTTTTTTTATTTGGCTCTGTTACACGATTACGTCACCAGTTCAGAACAGATTTTGACATTTCATTTTGCATTGCAGTAGACCTTATCCGCGTTTACGTTTTTACTACTCTAGTAATAACTTTGTAAATACCATTTCCTTTTTTAAATAATTATTTTTAACCCTACGATTCCACGTTCATAGTGTATATTCACATAGTGGTTACTTGCTCTGTGATACAACCATTACATTCTAATAATGGGCACAGGAATCAAACGATACTGCTTAATTCAAATATTTACCAGAGGGAGACTTTGTACAAAAGTCGATTGCTTGGGTACCTCTGTCTCATTCGTGTTTCAACCGTGAAGCAGTTGTGTTTGCATGGCTGTGTTTCGGTTTGAAGGGTGGGATATGGCGTGAATTTACTGGGTACAGAGGAATAACACCTGAGTCCTCAGGAATGGCAACGCATGGGGGGTATCATGGGCGAAACAGTATATTCTGTTATGTCCATGGTACTGCTTATGTTTATAGGCGACGGTTACCACTTTCCATCAGGTGGGCCGTCAGCTTGTTTGCCATTCTAAGTTGTATAAAAAAAAAAAAAAAAAATATTTTTGTTGCCTACTTTTTTTTAATACCACTTTTTCTGTCACTTACGACAAACGTCAGATTTTGGCGGGAATGTGGCACATGTGATGCATTTATCTGTAGCTATCCCAGAGAATGCTTTTACGACGTACTTAACAAAACAAGTACGTAACGACAGCACAATCCATTTCATTGCCGTTTTAGTGAACGTAAAAATTTAGTTTTACGACCAGTGTAGTACGCGAACAAACCGTTTTTCTTCAATTTCAACATTTATACGTAGTGTAGGATTTGAGGTTAAAACTGTCAGCCGTAATGCACTTTTGATATTTTTATGTTTACTGAACATATGAGATTTTATATTTAATAATTAAATTTTTAAAGCATATTTGTTTAACAAACTTCACATGACTTATAAGCAAATTAATTAGTCTAGTCTAGTATTCATATTCCATAAATATTACCAAAGGGAGTCTCCCTTTGATATATATATAAAACTTTTATATTTATTTATTTATTACTTTACCAGAGGGAGACTTTGTATAAAAGTCGATTGCTTGGGTACCTCTGTCCCATTCGTGTTTCAACCGTGAAGCAGTTGCGTTTGCATGGCTGTGTTTCAGTATGAAGGGTGGGATATGGCGTGAATTTACTGGGTACGGAGGAATAACACCTGAGTCCTCAGGAATGGCAACGCATGGGGGGTATCATGGGCGAAACAGTATACTCTTTTATGTCCATGGTACTGCTCATGTCTATAGGCGACGGTTAGCACTTTCCATCAGGTGGGCTGTCAGCTTGTTTGCCATTCTAAGTTGTAAAAAAAAAAAGTAATCGATTAATATTTAATAAATTTAATATTTATTATATAAGGCAAATATTAAAACTTAGATTGTATAGATGGAGTCTTGAGTCTTAAAAAGGGGTCAACTTTTTGTCAGCTATTTGTGAAATTAGCTGACTCGTTTTTTTTTTTTTTTATCAGTGTTCTATATACTAACTCATAAAATGTATCTTGACGTATTATTTAATAAATAAAATTAATATTTACGCATTAAAAAGGTACAGAAATTCCTTAGAATCACTCATAACTGTTTATTACGCAAAATTGTAAAGTTGACCCGCTTTTCTCAAAGCATTTGTATGGAGACACTCTATCTATATAATCTAAGTAATAAAAATTGGACATACTTATTACTTATAAAATGTCGTAAACTGCTGGCCTAGGACATAGAATACGAAACAGAAAATACAGTCTTTTGCAGCTTATAATACAGGGAAAAATCCAAGGTTGCCAAAAATTGGGAAGACACAAAATCTCCTGGTGAAAAAATCTAAGGCAGTGGTTCGAAATAAGCACCAGATCCCTTTTCAGGGTGGTGGTTTTTTTTATGTTGGATGAAAATGGAATGTTAACCCCGCCTGCGCTAATGGAATACGCTGACGGGGCACCAGTTGGGAGGTTGGTGATCATCATAGTGATTTTAACTTTGTCCATCATCATCCTGGGGGGGAAAGGGATTGTTAGTAGTGGAGACTGAGAATCCTATTGCTAGCAATATACCCAACCAGGTCGACCTCCTCGCGATTCTCCCTGGAAACTATCATGGGTAATTCCTAATTCATCATGATGGGCTAACTGGCCTGTTTTCATTCTCATCTATCACCCTTCACTGGTGCTCCGCCAGCGTATCCCGTTAGCGCAGGCGGGGTTACCATACCATTTTCACCCATCAAAAAAAAAAACACTCTTTTGTTGTCATTATAACAAAACAATAGACCAAATGCCGTGTGCATTTGTTCCATTATTTTGTTACAATTGGTATACATATTTTACAACATTTACAAACTCAAAATTCGACCAACAGCCAACAATATTATCAATACAATCAATACATATAAGATTTGCCATTAAACCCCAAGAGAGTTATACCTAGGTTAGATTAAATTTCGCAACTTGTTTTACCAAAACAATGGATTCGAAACGAGGTCATTTCATTAGATATTTTGTCACGTTTAAATTTTAATCATAAAAGCTTATCTTCTCTGTTTGTATTTGCATAGCCGTTTCTCTAATCTATATACGAATGAGAATATTTCCCCTTTATACGCAATCCACTTTTATAAATGAAGCCTTTTATAAAAAAGTTTGATACGTATC